TGTCATCTTGACTTTTATTCACATATTTTGATCTTCATTTACTTGGAGTGAAGGCATATGAGTTACCAAAAATTAAAAATAATATTTTAAAATTTTAAACTGAGGTTCTTTTTCTTCAGAGTTATTTACTCTGCCCCCATTGGCTCAGTGGCATTCACTACTTAAGGAGAAAGTGAAAACAGTGAGAACAAAGCAGATGGATAATTCACAACATCCAAAGCCACAGTCGCTTGAAAGAGCTAGTCACGTGAGAGAGAGGTAGTTTTGTTCTGAATTTCAAAATGGCTTAGTTTTAACCCATTTATGGCTGAGGTGGCAATTTTTTAATTTGAAAAATCAGACCTTAGCAATGCCTTGAGCAGTAGGATATAAATAACTCCCACATGCTTAGCGTTCCAATAATGGAACTCTAGGCATAAATCAGCAAGATGATGTAAAAGCTTGGAGGACAGAGCATAGCATTTATAGGTGTTAGGGTAAAGCAAGTTTGTCCAATCTGCAGCCAGGATGGCTTTGAATGCAGCCCAACACAAATTCATAAACTTTCTTAAAACATTATGAGACTTTTTGATTTTTTTAAAAGCTAATTAGCTATCATTTAGTGTTAGAATATTTTATATGTGGCCCAAGATGATTCTTCTTCCAATGTGGCCCAGGAAAGCCAAGGTATTGGACGCCCTGCTCTAAGGATGCAGGTCATGGCACAAGGTCATTTCTCCACCACAAAAGAAAGTAATATAAATTGCTTTCATGTCCGGGTATGGTGGCACACATCTGTATTCCCAGCTACTCAGGAGGCTGAGGCAGGAGGATTGCTTGAGCCCAGCAGATTGAGGCCAGCCTGAGCATAGCAAGACCCTATTCCTTAAACAAAAAAATTTTTTGGCCAGGCACGGTGGCTCACACCTGTAATCCCAGCACTTTGGGAGGCAGAGGTGGGCAGATCACGAGGTCAGGAGATCATCCTGCCTAACACAGTGAAACCCCGTCTCTACTAAAAATACAAAAAATTAGCCAGGTGTGGTGGCGTGCACCTGTAGTCCCAGCGACTCAGGAGGCTGAGGCAGGAGAATGGCGTGAACCTGGGAGGTGGAGGTTGCAGTGAGCCAAGTTTGCACCACTGCACTCCAACCTGGGCAACAGAATGAGACTCTGTCTCAAAAAAAAAATTTTTTTTTTAAGATAAGCATTAAAAGCACAGCTTTCCTGGGACTGCAAAAGGTTATCGGCGGGGGGGGGGGGTGGGGGGTGGGGGGTGGGGGGCAATAAAAGCTTTCCTGGCTCAGCACCCAGGGAACTGGGGAGCAGATATGGGGGAGGAGAGGAGTTGTAAGAGACACAGATAGAAGTGTGCTTCTTCCCGAGGGGGCAGTGGCTCTGCCTCCTTAGCCGACATTTCACTGGCAGGGGACAGAGCGTACAGGGGTAAGGGCAGAAGGGACTTGGCCCTCGTTTGCTCTAAAACCCTTGCCTCCAGCACCACAAGAACATGAGAGGGGAGAGACGTAGAGTGGAAAGGCGGGCAGGGCAGACCTGGACTGAAAATGGGCCTCCAAGAACTGCCCCATCTGAGTCTCCCCCACTTCCTTCCTGTGTGGGGAAATCAGGGGAAGAGCCTGTAGCACCTGGTGAGGGCGAGGAAGGTGGCAGAGAATGAAGCCTTGGCCAGAGCAGCACCACCACTGCAGTGATGGGGCCTGGCCGGCAGGGCGCAGCCACCTCTCCTCTTGCTGCCTTAGAGCGGTTGACCAACTGGGTCAATGGTGAAGGCAACAGTGACCAAGACTGACACCTACCACCAAGGCAACAAGATGTCTCCAAGGTCAAGGTGGGCCAGAGAATAGGAAGCATGGGACAGACCTGGAGCTCATCCAGAGGAGGAGATGAGGGAGTGTGGCCCTGATGGAATTAAAATCCTGGATTGACTGAGGAATTATCCTTAAAAAGCTTTGAAACCAGAAGGGTGTCAATGATCCTAAAGTGCCAAGATTAAGAGTTATCCACTACTTCGTAAGTAAATTGAGTACAGTTATAGAGAAATAATGTTTCATTTTTGCACCTCTGAGATGTCACCGTAAACTTGAAACCCACTACACATTAGAAATCCCTGCCCTCAGGTTGGGTGCAGTGACTCATGCCTGTAATCCCAGCACTTTGGGAGGCTGAGGCAGGTGGATCACAAGGTCAAGAGATCAAGACCATCCTGGCCAACATGGTGAAACCCCATCTCTATTAAAAACACAAAAATTAGCTGGGCATGGTGGTGGGCGCGTGTAGTCCCAGCTACTCAGAAGGCTAAGGCAGGAAAAACTTGAACCCAGGAGGTGGAGGTTGCAGTGAGCCACGATCGTGCCACTGCACTCCAGCCTGGGTGATGAAGTGAGACTCCGTCTCAAAAAAAAAAAAAAAAAAGAAATCCCTACCTTCCTTTTATGTTCCCAAAATGTTCCCACCACAGAGGCAGCCTTGAACACTGACAGTTTGCCTACATTTGGTGGGGTGTGATTGCAAGACCAGGACTAGACAGCAATCAGCACTACTTTGAGCTTCCAGAAATCTAATCTGGGGAAGCGTTCAGGCAAGAGATACATCGATCTCATAGAGGACACAAAGACATGAACATTGATAGCCCTGTTGTCATCTTAAAAATCATACTTAGGCCATGTGTGGTGGCTCACACCTGTAATCCCAACACTTTGGGAGGCTGAGGCAGGTGGATCACCTGAGGTCAGGAGTTTGAGACTAGCCTGGCCAACGTGATGAAACCCTGTCTCTACTAAAAATACAAAAATTAGGCAAGCGTGGTGGCAGGTGCCTGTAGTCCCAGCTACTCAGGAGGCTGAGGCAGGAGAATCACTTGAATCCAGGAAGTGGAGGTTGCAGTGAGCTGAGATCATGCCACTGCACTCCAGCCTGGGAGAGAGAGCGAGACTCCATCTCAAAAAGAAAATCATAATTACTTTCATGATGTATACTGTAAGGCAATATGATAAGTAGTAGGGTATCTGTTCTTTCCCTGATTTCTCTCCCCCCGCCCCGCCCCACTCTGACTGGTATCTTGGAAGCAGAAAATTCTAATGTAACATTTGCTATGAGTGTTCTCTTTAAATGTCATCCACAATGATTAGGAACACCTCACAGACACCAGCTCTGTTTAGCTGGCTACAGCGGACCAGGTGTTCAACCAGTTTGACTACTCCGCCTCCCTTTGTTAGGCCTCTGAATTATGTATCTCCTGGTATGCCGGTGAGAGACTCACACTGTGGCTCTCCACGTGCCCTGGAGCTAAACGTCCCTGTTTGCTTTCTCTGGAATAATTTCACTTGTTCCCCTCTCCCCTGTCTACAGGGAAGCTGCGGTTCCAGCTATCCATGACTATAATGATTCACGAGGAATTGAAATAAAAGCATTACAAACCCTGTAGGTAAAATGAGGACATTCTTTAAGTTCTATTATAAATTGAGTGTAGCCCAAGAATTCAATAGAGAATGAATAAGAGATTACCGGTTGTCTGGTTAGAGCTTAGTGGTTGCCCCCAGGGAATAGCTTGTTGGCTTGTGTGGGCGGCCAGAAAACACGGCAGCCTCAGCTCTGTTTGGAGTCCTTCCTTCAGAGAGGAATTGACTTCCTAGCAATTTATTTCCCCGTGATTGTGGCCCACGCTCACAGAGGCCAAACCAAACAGGCCCAGGAAGATTCTTGGCGTGGCCAGTGGGGAGCCCGGCCTGGCAGCACCCCTCCTCCCAGGCTTTGCAGCTGCCTGTGTGCATCCCAAGCAATCTTTGTCAGCAAATGGCCACAAAACTTTCTTTTTTTAAAAAAAAAAACTAAAAATGTAGTTTAAATCTTCACATGCACATTAGAGCCACATTATATTACCTTTAAAAATGTTTTTAAATTTTAAAAAATTTCTGTAGTATAAAATTAAGTTGATCTTAAAGCTGCCTCCTTTATAGTTTACGTTCTGCCTAAAGCTCTGCTCGTGCATAGTGAACTGTCACCTGACTGGGTGCGTAAACAGACGGCTGCCTATCCTTGTGTCAATCACCGAGTTCCGGGCAAAGACAGGCAGTTCTTCAAACCATGAACAAATAAAGCAATCATCAAGCCGTAACCAACCTGGCTCTTTCTGTGCTTCACTTCTGTTTCCCGTACATCCCTTTCCTTTTTCGGTCCATAAATCTTCCTCCACCATGTGCCTAAGCTGGAGCTTCTGGTCCAGGGGCTGCCCTGTTCACAAATCGTTTTTTGCTCAATTAAACTCTGTTAAGTTGAATGTCTCTATGGTTTTTAACATTAGAGACAGGGTCTCTCTGTCACCCAGGCAGTGGTGCAGTCACGGTTCACTGCAGCCTCTATCTTCTGGGCTCAAAAGATCCTCCCACCTCACCTCCCGAGTAGCTGAGACCATTGGCATATGCCACCACACCTGGCCTATGTCTCCTTTGTAATGCTTTATGTTTTCATTAAAAAAAAAAAAGACCCTTAAGGCTGAAAGTTCATTTCAACTAAACATAGCTTGAGGCCCCTTGACAGCACCCCTGGATGCTGGCCATCCAGTCTCGAATCTGAACGTCTTCAGTGACAGGGAGGTAACTTGCTCCCTCCCAACACAGACTCATCCATTTTGGGGTTGCTCCAATGGAAACCCTTTCTTAAATTGAAGATTCCCTGTAATTTACATCGATTGTACCTAATTTCATGCTTGATACCCCGTGGAATAAATTGCACCCATCTTCCATGTGAAAGCTCTGTAGCTAATCAGGGCCACTATCTCATCCCTTTCCCTGTGGCCCTTCTTCACCGCCAAGCTCCTGTGGTGGTATCATTCTTCCTCTACCCAGGGGCTGAGAGTGTTTACCACCCCGCTGCTCCCCTCTGAACAGCCTCCAACTTGTCGAGCCCTTTGAAAACTGCGGTGCACACAGCTTGGCACAGGGCTCAGCTGTGGTCTCCCCGGTGCAGAATGAGGCAGAAGAACTTGTTGTAAATACCGCACATCTATTAACGCAGCCGAGGATTTAATGAGCTTTCTTGGCAACCACATTAAATTATGGCTTTTTTTCTTACCAGCAACTACATATTTGAGTGGTTGGATTTTATAGATCAAGACCAGAGCCTTCCATTTACCATTATGGACTTTATCTTGTAATACGGGCTGATTCATTCAGACTTTTAGAGATCTTCTGGCGTTCTGATTTTGCCCTTGAATGTATTAGTATTCCACTCATGCTCTGTGTCACCTGCAAATACAAAAGTTTATTTTTGGTCTTTAGCCAGGCCACTGATTAAAAAAAGCACACACAACAACAACAACAAATGCTCATGTGGCACAAAAATGCAGAGTCCTGTGGTATTCCAATAAAAACAGTCCTCTGGATGAAAAAGAATCAATTAAGTAGCAAGCTTTGGCTATGATCCTTCAACCCGTTAAAAACCAACCAATTTCCCTATCCCTCAACCCCGGTGAGGACAACATTAGCCTATCCCTCAACTCCTGTGAGGACAATTAGCCTATCCCTCAACCCCTGTGAGGACAACATTAGCCACTCTTTACGGCAGCTTATCAGCTGACCCCCCTTTCTACGTGGGAGAATTACCTACTTCGCGAGTCTGCCAGAAGGCAGAGACCACCTCCTCCTATGAGAAGTGAAACATGTCAGCACCTGGCTTTCCCAGCTCCCTCCATAGCTAAGGTGTGGGCATGTGATCTGGGATCCACCAAACAGAGGCATCGGGCTGAACTTTGACTCAGGAGCTGGAGAGGCAAAAACGTTGGGACTCTAAGGACTCTGTTCTGGCAGAGGATGGGGACCACTTTATACCCTTTTCAGGACACCAGGGTTAGTGTTAGCGGTGTCAGCAGGGCAAACTATGGTGTTCGTGCCGATGTGGACAAGCTGTCGTGCCCTCCAAAGACCAGGGCTGTGATTGTGGATGCGGCTGTGCATCCAAAAATCCATAAATCACATATCAGATTTAGGATATCCGAGCCTGATTGTCTGGCCCTTCTGAAGAGCTGGTAAACTTCCCTATATCCTTGAATAAAATCCCTTTTCTGTTCAAACTCACTAGAATTTGTTTCTGTTCTTTGTGATCTAAAAACTGCGAGTGACACTCTGCCTCTCTACCTTATCCCCAGGGTCCCCAAGCAACTATGTCAGTTTCCTTTCTGACGTGTAGCGGGACCATATCGATCTTGTATCTCTAAGTTTGCCAGTGGAGTAATCCTATCAGAAAAGGAGATGGATTCAGGCTAACACAACTTGCTTTTAGTGACATGGGGCTGACTCTTTATAATCACTGCTTCCTGGTTTCTAAGAGCTCGGAAACCACCTTCTAGCATTCTCTTCAAGACTCCCACTGAGAATCAATCTCAAGCTTACTGGTCTACAGGTCATAGAATCCACCTTCTTTTTTTTTTTTTGAAAATTAGAATTACATTTTCCCATTTCGCTGGCTCTGTTGTTTTTCATGATTCCTAGAGATCATCCAAAAGATTTCTCAATCACCTCCACAGTCTTTCCATGTTCTTTACTATGAAAATATTCTCATACAATCTCCTTGTAGGTTTGATTTGTTCTTTTGACTTGAAAAATGTTCTTTTTTGAGAAGACAGAAGCAAAGCAAGAGTTAAGGAATTCCATTTTCTGTGTTCTGTTTGAATACTGCATCATCCAGTTGACACTGCAGACATTCCTCAGAACCTGTCCTAGCCCTGCAGACGAAGGCGAGGCATAGCCCATCTCTCTGCGGTTTCAAATATCTAAACCCAAACCCCATGCCCTCCAGTCTAAATACATTGTCTTAGTCCATTTCGGTTGCTATAACAAAATACCTCGGACTGGGTAATTTATAAAAAGCAGAATGTGGCCGGCCGCGGTGGCTCACCCCTATAATCCCAGCACTTTGGGAGCCTGAGGCAGACAGATCACTTGAGATCAGGAGTTCAGACCAGCCTGCCAACATGACGAAACCCCATCTCTACTAAAACTACAAAAATTAGCTGGGCGTGGTGGCGGGCGCCTGTAATCCCAGCTACTCTGGAGGCTGAAGCAGGAGAATAGTTTGAACCTGGGAGGTGGAGTTTGCAATCCCAGCTAATCTGGAGGCTGAAGCTGGAGAATAGTTTGAACCTGGGAGGTGGAGTTTGCAGTCTCAGCTAATCTGGAGGCTGAAGCTGGAGAATAGTTTGAACCTGGGAGTTGGAGTTTGCAGTCTCAGCTAATCTGGAGGCTGAAGCTGGAGAATAGTTTGAACCTGGGAGGTGGAGTTTGCAATCCCAGCTAGTCTGGAGGCTGAAGCAGGAGAATAGTTTGAACCTGGGAGGTGGAGTTTGCAGTGAGCCGAGATTGCACGACTGCACTCCAGCCTGGATGACAGAGCAAGACTCCATCTCAAAAAAAAAAAAAAAAAAGGTGCAGAATTTTATTGCTCACAGTTCTGAAGGCCGAGAAGTTCAACATCAAGGTGCCACCAGATTCGGTGCCTGGTGAGGGCCCTCTGCTTTATACAGGGCAGCTTCTTGCTGCATTCTTACATGGCTGAAGGAGAAAAGGGGCAAGCAAACTCCCTCAGGCCTCTTTTATGACGGGATTATTCCCATTCACGAGGGTTCTGCCCTCAAGATCCAACGGCCCCACCTCTTAAAGGCAAAACACTGGGATTTGATTTCAACGTATGAGGGAGTCTCTGAGCCTACTCTGGCTCAGAAGGCTACCTGTAAAAAAGAAAACAAGAAAAGAAAAAGAAAAAAAAGAAGATTTCAACATGTGAATTTTGGAGGGATGCAAACATTCAGACCATAGTGCTGTCCTTGAATATAGTATGTACCTTGTGAATGAATGTTAGTGGCATAAAGCTAACAAAAGGCTATGACTTATCCCAGGCATACCTGCTTGGCTTTTGAACCTGATTTCTATCATTGTACACATACAGCCTACCATAAAAAATATTAATAATCACATAAAAGGTGGTTTATATTACCCAGGTCTTATTTAGTATCATTAAACATCACTATTAGTCTCATTTAATATAGCTAACTTATATTTGGCCAAAAAAAGCATTGCAGGCCAGATGTGGTGGCTCACACCTGTTATCCTAGAACTTTGGGAGGTCAAAACAGGAGGATTGCTTGAGCCCCAGGAGTTCAAGACCAGCCTAAGTCATATAGTGAGACCCTGTCTCCACAAAAAAATTAAAATTAAAAAAAAAGCATTACAGGCCGGGCGCAGTGATTCACGCCTGTAATCCCAGCACTTTGGGAGGCTGAGGTGGGCGAATCACCTGAGGTCAGGAGTTCGAGACCAACCTGACCAACATGGAGAAACTCCATCTCTACTAAAAATACAAAATTAGCCAGGCGTGGTGTATACAGGTGGCACATGCCTGTAATCCCAGCTACTTGGGAGGTTGAGGCAGGAGAATCGCTTGAACCTGGAGGCGGAGGGTGCAGTGAGCCGAGATCGCGCCATTGCACTCCAGCCTGGGCAACAAGAGCGAAACTCTGTCTCAAAACAAACAAACAAAAAAGCATTGCAGTATTATTCCAAACCTATGCATTTTGATATAAATATTCCAGTGTGTGTGTGTGTGTGTGTTTTAAAACCTATACAATTCCTGATAGGTAAGGGATAATGTTATTCACATAACTGAAACTTAGATTGAGGCCAAGATCAGAGAGAAAGAAGGACCAGCCAGGTCATGATCCATTGCTTTGGAGGGAAGAATCCTGCCTTCAAGAAGGGAGGCATCGCCAGAGGGAGCCTGCCAACCTCTCTGGTTGGGGTGAGGTGGAGTAAGGCTGAGAGGAGGCCATGGGCAGTTGGAACCATCCCAGCTTGCCCCACTGATACCTTTTAGCTTACCGGATGCCGGATCCCATGCCGGGGAGACCTTGCCGACGCGCTTGGGCTTACCCCGAGCATAGACGGCCTGCTGAACGAGTCGGGTCCCTCTCCACCCGGGCTTCCAGGAGGGCAGCTGCACAGGTAGAGAAAGGCCAGCACCCTGGATAATGTCAGATGGGCTTGAGGCATGTGTGTGGTGGGTGCCTTTTAAAGTAGCACCCTACCAGAAACGAACATTGTGTCGTCCTTCTTGGTAAGAGTGGAAGAGGGGACCCTCCCTCGGGAGAGTAGGAGTAGGTCAAGAATCCACATTGTCTGGAGAAAAGGGGCAAACTCACAAGACACTTTGGGCTTTGAGGTTTAAGAAGACATCTGCTCAGTTCCCAGGAGAGTAGATCCCTGGAAAGCGGGTGTGTGTGGGATGGTCTTGGCCCACAGGGTGGTGAGAATCAGAGAGGGAGACCATCCCGAGCCAGGCTCCCGGCGGGGCTGCTGCATCCCGTAGGTTCAGGCGGTATCATTCCCTCAGAAGCCAGAAGGAACGGTGTTCTCTGTGGTGGTATAGACTTGGGTTCCATTTCCTGGGGTGGGTTGTGCCCCTGGGGTGAATGTACTTATGATGAAAGAGTTGGTCCTTAAGAGACAGAACACTCTTGAGTTTGGGCCTAGTAGGGAGTGAGGTCCCAGAAGCCAAGCCTGGTTGTACAACTGCCTGTTTTCAGAACTGCTGCAAAAGGGCTTGGTTCTAGCCTAAATGCTACAGCAGGGAAAGAAGATATAAACTTCAGAGGCGGGCTGGCATGGTGGCTCACGCCTGTAATCCCAGCATTTTGGGAGGCTGAAGCGGGAGGATCTCTTGAGCTCAGGAGTTTGAGACCAGCCTGGGTAACATAGTGGGACCCTGTCTCTATAAAACAAACAAATAAAAAACCACCACCAACCACAACAACAAAATCCAGAGGCAGATGCAACCCCTACCTAGCCCCTTCTACTGAGATGACCCAAACTCTCCCAACTCCTTATCCACTTGTGCCCACCATGACTCACTGCCGCCTACACCCATGAGCTGACAAGGAATTGAAGGAGTTTGATTCAAAGTTCCTGGACCAATTTAGCTGACGTCTTCCTTGACTGAGAGGAAGGCAATGTGAAAGGTCTTCACCGAAATGTCCCTCGCCAGTTATACTGGAAGAGATGGCAGCACAGATGCTGAGATCAACTTCTGTAGGGCACACTGCCTCTTCTGAATGCCCTTGGCCACTAGGTGAGTTCTGGGCTTTGTCCATCCAGGCTCAGGACATGACCTGATGACACCAGGGTCTATGCCTCAACTCCTCTCCACCCTCATTATATGTAGACATGGGACCAAGCCCATCTGGACCCAACCAAACAATGGGGAAACTCATGGACAAGTGAGAAGGAGGGCGCTGGGGCATTTCAGCGAGACTGACATCTAAATTTTCTGCACTTACAGGGAGGAGGTTCTTGAACACTTGCTCCCGGGGGGTAAAATGAATCAAATTATTCCTACAAGAATGTTTAGTCAAAGATATGGCGCTGCCCTTTGGTCTTAACAACTTTCCACCTGCACTTATTCGTTATGTGTAAGGTCGTGGCTCACGCCTGTAATCCCAGCACACTTTGGGAGGCGAGACAGGCGGGTCACGGAGGTCAGGAGATCGAAATCATCTGGCTAACATGGTGAACCATCTTACTAAAAATACACAAAATTAGCCAGTCATGGTGGGGTGCTGTAGTCCCAGCCTACTCGGGAGGCTGGAGGCAGGCGAGGAATTGCTTGAACTGCGGGAGGGGAGACTGCGTTGAGCCAAGATTTGCGCCCGCATCCAGTCTTGCGTGTCACAGTGAGATCCGTCTCAAAAAAGAATCAATCATGTTATAAAAGGAACTTTTTTTTTTTTTGAGACGGGTTTTTGTGGCTCATGTCCCCCAGGCTGAGTGTAATGGCTATCTCAGCTCATGCCCCACCTTGGTCCGCCGGTGTTCAAGCAATTCTCCTGCCTCAACTGTCCCGAGTAGCTACAGTCATGACCACCTGCCTGCTAATTTTTGTATTTTTTAGTAAAGATGGGTTTCACATGTTGGCATGGCTGATCTAAATCTACTCGTGATGACGCCCGCCTTGGTCTTCCAAGTGCTGGGATTGAGGTAGGGTGAGTCACTGCGCCCGGCCTTTTTTTTGATTTTTGGATGGAGTTTTGCTTTGTTACCCCAGGTGGGGTGCAAGGCGTTGATCTTGGCTCAGCCGCAACTCGGCCGGCCCGGTTCAACGATTCTCCCGACGCATCTCCTCTCCCAGTATGCTGGGATTCAGGCATGCACCCACTACGCCTGGCTAATTTTTATTTTTAGGTAGAAAGGGGGTTTCTCTATGTGTCAGGCTAGGGTCTGATCTCTTGCCCTCATGATCTCCCACCTTGGCTTCCAAGAGTGCTGGGATTACAGGCAGGGTCCCTGTTGCCGGCCAGGCACACCTCTTAATTCCCATGATTCAGATACACACAGACCCCCTTCTTAAGAATAAGGCAAGTAACAGACAAAATTAGCCAGGCATGGTGGCTCAGGCCTGTTAATCCAGCACTTAGGGAGGGCAGATGGCAGGACGTAGCTTTGAGCCCAAGGATTCAAGGACCAGCCTGGGGCACATTAGCAAGCCTTATTACTCCACAAAGGGGGGAAGATACCAGCACAAGGAAAAGATTTAACAGTGCAAAGCTGACTGATGCTGAAACACAAAGACTAAGTTGGCCCTTTCAAAGACCACTGCAAGACTGGAGAATGACTTAGAAACGTTCAATTTGTATTCTCGGTGGAATAATACAGAAAGGGAGAAAGGGAGACACTGCAGGGTGGGCCTCCCTCGTGTGGCTTTTCCCTCATGGATGCCTTGAGGTCACCCACAAGGCAGGGGAGTGTGGGCCCGGGCATCCCGGAGACTGGCCGCAGACGCATGGGGATCCACTTCACGCCTGGCCTGGCACAGATAGAGTGGGGAACCTGTGTGGCATCCTCGATCATCTCTTGTTTTCTTTTTCAATGGCTTGGTGTATTACTGATCACCCAGAACGGAAGGAACAGGTGGGGAAATGTACACATGGGTCACAGGGTTTGGGGGGGAGGATTGAGTCCATCAGTAATGGCCATCCCAGTCTCCAGCCCCACGATGAAGCCGGCACTGTTAGAGACAGGCTTTAGTCTCCCAGCGTTTACCACAGAACATGGCTTTGCAATTTGAGACACACAAATCTGTGGGTTGGATTGCTATTCTGAGGATCATGCAAAAAGTTTGTCTGTCTCCGGGATGTTTTTGTCTTGAAGCAGAGAAACACAAACAGTGTCGTGGGTACTTCGCTCCATTTTGGTCTGTGTCAGGAAGGAAACAGGTTTTTTAACAGGTCCACGCCCATGTTTCTTGATCTTGAGACAATCCCCGGCAGAGTTAACAGACCTCCAAGAACTGAGCTCAACAAGAAGTGTGTGTTTCTTTCCTCGTGTGGCCATGTGGCCCGGAGAGAGAGATTATATAAGCAGCAGAGAAATTAGAGATGGAAAATTGGCAGAGAGGGACTGAATGGCCGAAGATGTGAATCCAAATTAGGCAAACTGGAGTATGCTTGTCAGATGTCCCGCGCAAGCACTTGCCGAAACGCCTCCTCATCCCAGGGATGAAGTTCTCCGCACACAATTACATGAACAGCCAGTAGGT